GAACTCCTTCTCCCTTGCCCGCACCCAAAGCCCATTGTTCTGTTATTTGCTTCACTGCTTGCTGTATTGACTATAAATAAACTCCTGGGACTGAAGCTGGGGTCGACTCCTCAGAGTGACCCTCCTGGCCCCACTTCTCTGTTAAGAGTTGTGTTTGGTTACTGTCTCCGCCATCCCGACAACTGTCGCCACTGCGACAGTGTATTTTCTTTGTGAGTTTTGCATTAATTTGTGTGATGCTGATTCACACCCGGACTGTATTTACCTAGGTTGAGTATAAGCCAGAGAATTCTGTAAAACACCCTTTGGCAATGTGTGTGTCTGTGACAGTGTGTGTCTGTATGTGAGTATTTTGTCTGTAACAAATGCACACCTTGACTTCCTTCACCCAGAAGCTGTGTAGGACAGAGAAGACTTAAAACCAAGATACAAACATTTGTGTGTGTGTGCATGTGTATGTGTAGGTGCATTTTCACGTGTGTGTGTGGGGGAGTGTGCTTAACATTCAGACATTCTGACTCTCCACTTGCCTGATACTAGAATTCCCACATAGGCAGCTCCAAAAGAGGCTTACTTTGAAGGACTGTTGGGACCATTTTCCCATGGGATTTGAATACTACAACAGGGTCCCTGGAAGTCCAATATTTTTGCAAAGACTTTCAACTTTGGTAACATAGTTTAATCGTTAAATGCTTGTTTCTGGTGTCATACATATCTACATTCACATCTTTGGGTTTTTTTTTTCCCCACTTAATAGCTTTGTGGCCTTGGGTTTCATCTCTCTGATGTTCAACAGCCTCCACTGTAAAATAGGAATAATAATAATTGCTTTGAGATATTGACTGTAAGGTCCTTAACAAGTTCTAAGTACGTAGTAAGCATTTAGTAAGGTGTAACCTTATGGCCTTTCTTCTGGCGTAGTGATCTACTTCTGAAAATCAGCCATTAAAAATTCTATGGAGCACACTTTTACCCTGAACACATGTGTCGCCATGAGTTGGAATCGACTTGATGGCAACTGGTTACTGGTTCAGCCGTGTGGAGGCTGAGGCACTTAACTCTCCATTTCCTGACTTACCAGGGGAGAATATTTAGTATGAAGACAGAGAAAATAGGTCTAAACAAAGGCTCCGCCCAAAGGTCTAGGTCAAAGCTTCTCATCTTCATTATTGAGCATTTTCCCAGTCACCTCTTTTACATAGGTACTGACTGAAACAAAGCACCATTCCTATCTATATTGTTCCCTTTCCTTAAAATTGTCAGGTTCCTCTCCCAGGCATATGCGTATTTTGATGTTTAACTTTAGTTTAGCCTCCCCAGTGCCTTTGGAAAGAAATGAGAGGAGTCTCTCTTTAGTGAAAAGATCACCAGAAAAACCTACCTTTGAGACACGTTCCACCACAAAATATCTATGTGACCTCATGTAAGTGATTTCATTTCTCACATTAGTGAAATGAAGGACAAAAAAAAAAAAAAAAAAAGATCTTCTCTACTTTCCAGGCACACAATAAAGATTAACTGATTGATTGAATGAAATTGAAGGCATGAGAAAGCTATTTGCAAACTGTAAAGACCTGTAGGAATATGAATGATGACAGTTACCTCTAAGCAGGAGGATTCCTTCAAACATTATTTGAAGGAAATAACATCTCTCTAGGTCCTGGCTCTTCTGTCTAATAAAAGAGAGGGAGAAACACAGGAATGGAGACTTCAATAATTAAAAAAAATGAGGGAGAATTGTGACTACAGCAGTTATTGACTGTGTGACCATGCTAGCTTATTACTCCTTCTACATATATATCCTCAGAAGGAGTAAGAAGCTAGCATGGCCACACAGTCAATAACTGCTGCAGTCACAATATATAGTTTTAATGGCTCCTATCTCATAGGGCTGCTGAAAAAATTTCACAAGGCAATAACATAAAGCTATATCTGTCCAGCAGAAGTGCTCATTAAATGACAATTATTACCAGTATTAAGATAAATATTGGAAATAGTGATAGTTAATCAAGTAGCTATAAATTCTAATAAACCAAACAAAAAACAACAACAACAAAAAACCCAAACCTGTTGCCATCAAGTAGATTCCAGCTCATAGCGACCCTATAGGACAGAGTAGAACTGCCCCATAGAGCTTCCAAGGAGCAGCTGGTGGATTCGAACTGCTGACCTTTTGTTTATAGCAGAGTTCTTAGCAACTGCGCCTAGGGTTCTGTAAACTCTAATAGACATTACTGATCCTGCACCATCAGGTCCCAGGCAGATGCTAAATTGTGTTACTGCATATGAATATCCAGATCTGAGCAAATGTGAAGAACTGGATATGGATGGATATAGAGGGACTGAAGTAATGTTATTTCTTGGCAAATTTATGGACATGCATTAAGACAAATTCTACCAGGGAATTTACCCCAGTCATCAGGATCTGAAATTAGGAACTTCATTGAGAGTGTGAGAGCTTGGATAGGTTAACACAACTTCAGAAGAGGACATGGAATGAGGGATATCATTGTTGATGTCAAATGGATCTCGGCTGAAAGCAAAGAATACCAGAAAGATGTTTACCTGTGTTTTATTGACTATACAAAGGCATTCGACTGTGTGGATCATAACAAATTATGGATAACATTGAAAAGAATGGGAATTCCAGAACCTTAATTGTGCTCATGAGGAACTTATACATAGACCAAGAGGCAGTTGTTCGAACAGAAAAAGGGGATGCTGTGTGGTTTAAAATCAGGAAAGGTATGTGTCAGGGTTGTATCCTTTCACCATACTTATTCAATCTGTATGCTGAGCAAATAATCTGGAAGCTAGACTATGTGAAGAAGAACTAGGCATCAGGATTGGAGGAAGACTCATTAACAACCTGCAATATGCAGATGACACAACCTTGCTTGCTGAAAGTGAAGAGGTCTTGAAGCACTTACTGATGAAGAACAAGGTCTATAGCCTTCAGTACGGATTGCATCTCAACATAAAGAAGACGAAAATCCTCACAACTGGACCAATAAACAACATCATGATAAACGGAGAAATATTGAAGTTGTCAAGGATTTCATTTTACTTGGATTCACAATCAACGCCTATTGAAGCAGCAGTCAAGAAATCAGAAGATGCATTGCACTGGGCAAATTTGCTGCAAAAGACCTCTGTATGGTGTTAAAAAGCAAAGATGTCACCTTGAGGACTAAGGAGCACCTAACCCAAGCCATGGTATTTTCAATTGCCTCGTATACATTTGAAAGATGGACAGTGATCAAAGAAGATCAGAGAAGAATTAATGCTTTTGAATTATGGTGTTGGTGAAGAATATTGAATATACCATGGACTGCCAGAAGAACAAACAAATCTGTCTTGGAAGAAGTACAGCCAGAATGCTCCTTTGAAGCAAGGATGGCAAGACTTCATCTCTGTACTTTGGACATGCTATCAGTAGGGACCAGACCCTGGAGAAGGACATCATGCTTGGTAAAGTGGAAGATCAGTGAAAGAGAGGAAGATCCTACAAGGATGGGCTCAAGAATAGCAATAATTATGAGGATGGTGCAGGACTGGGCAGTGTTTCATTCCGTTGTACACAGAGTCGCTATGTGTCAGAACCAACTCAAAGGCACCTAACAACAATAGCAACCTTGCCTGTCCTGATGCTCACTTCACGATCCTGTGTAATTGAATTCCTAAATTTGATCCTGGTTTTATCTGGATACTTATCCTGTCATAAAAATAACAGCCAAAATGCATGTGTACCTATTTTATGCAGAACCCCAAACTAAGATACTATTGTGTTTTGAATTAGTTAATCCTTGTACTAACCCTATGAATATGTAATAGTGACAGCCTCACATTACAGAGCACAAAAAGAGGTAAAGAGACATTTAACTGACCAAGTTATACAGCTGGAAAGCAGTGAGGTCAGAATGGCAGCATGAGGAATCTGGCTGCAGATCCATCCTTCAATTTGTTCTCTGCCAGGGTTGTCCCTAGAGGGTAAGTACCCTGAAGAAGGAGATCCTATATGTGTGTTATTTATTTTTTTATCTTTGATTAATATCATAGTGCCTGGAACATGGTTGATAAATTAAAAAAAGAAGAATGAATTTGTTCGGGTTTCCATTGAAAGGAACTGTGTTGGGTATTGGGGGTATATTGCTTGCTTTGGCAAGACTATGTGATAATAGAAGTTCAAGCAGTTACTCTTTTTCTGCAGGAGAAAGTAAGAGACCCTACCATGGTGGCCAGAATCACACTTTCACAGTCTCTGATATTTCTCACTCCCCAGCAGAGAGAAGAGCAGTCTGAGGCTTGAGAAGCAGAGCAGTGTGTCTGAATTCCTCCTCCTGGGGCTCCCCATTCGGCTAGAACAGCAGGCCATGTTCTTTGCCCAGTTCCTGAACATGTACCTCACCACAGTACTGGGGAAACTGCTCATCATCCTGCTCATCAGGCTGGACTCTCGCCTCCACACCCCCACATACTTCTTCCTTAGCCACTTGGCCCTCACTGATGTCTCCTTTTCATCTGTCATCATCCCAAAGATGTTGATAAACATGCGTACTCAAGATCAATCCATCCCCTATATAGGGTGTGTAACACAGACATACTTTTTCATATTTTTTGGTTGTATTGATAACCTCCTTCTTGGAGTGATGGCATATGACAGGTATGTGGCCATCTGTCACCCTCTCCACTATACCACCATCATGAGAGAAAACCTATGTTTCTCAGTTGTGGCTGGGTCCTGGTTATTCTCTTGTAGCAGTGCAATGTCCCATACTCTCTGCCTGGTCCAGATGTCCTTTTGTGCTGATAACACCATCACTCATTTCTTTTGTTATCTTGCTGCTCTGCTCAAATTATCCTGCTCTGACACCTCCATCAATAAGCTGGTCATCTTCACTGTGGGGGCATTGGGCATCATCATACCACTGACTGGCATCCTGGTCTCTTATGTCCGCATTGGGGTTTCCATCCTGAGAGTTCCCTCTGCCAAAGGGATCTGCAAAGCCTTGTTCACCTGTGGGTCTCACCTCTCTGTGGTATTTCTATTCTATGGGACCATTATGGTACTATACATTTTTCCAGCATCTAACAACTCCTGTGACAAGCACATAATTGCTTCAGTGATGTACACAGTGGTCACTCCCATGTTGAATCCCTTCATCTATAGTCTGAGGAACAGAGACATGAAAGGGGCCCTGGGGAGGCTTTTTCAGAGGGATATCTTTTTCTCCAAGTGACAATCACCTCACCCCATCAATTTTTATTTCATCAAATAACACTGTCAGAGATTTCTCCTTGAAAACCTATGTAGGCAATCATCCTTGTTGCTGGCACCCACCCTGCCCCCCTGTTTCTGGTCACTTGCTTTGACTGTTCTTCTGTCTGCTCCCCCGGCACCCAGTGAGTTCATTCAAACCCCCAGGCACAGGCGCAACTAAGTGATGCTTGCTGTAACCCTTCGTGTCTTTTGAACCATATTCTTTTTGCTTTATCTTTATCTTATATCTCCTTATTTTTCCATAAGCCTTGGGATCTGGTACGTACAGCAACACATATTACCTCAGTTGTCTTCAAAGCACCAAATTTCTTTGAGTCATGAGTGGGAATTACTTTCCTTAACAATTACAGTATTGCCTTATATTCATATATAGATTAAAAAAAAAAAAAGCTTGCTTTAATATGTTTCCCACTGAAGGAAAAAGACATTTTACCTACAAATTTCTTTGCTGTTTGGATTTGTCAGAAGGCATTTTTACAAGCTGTACCTTCTCATTCTTTAAGTTTCTGATGCCCATGTTGAAGAATATTAGAACTGTCAAATCTGATGTGCTTTGGAGTTTGTAATTGTCTTTTGCAGTGTTTATATGAGTTTGCATCAACATTTGTGAAACTTAGTTGTGTAAATAATTAGAATACTTATGAATGGCTGTAAAAATTAATGATAATCCATATTTTAGCAATCAGCTCCTTAGTTTCTCTCAAATTTTAAAATATTTTTCCAGAGCTATAAATCTCACTGTAACTTCTATAGTTTAGAGTAAGGACTTTCAGAATGCTGGCTTACCTAATGCATGGCTTCGAAGGGGTTCATTCTAGTTGGACTCCCTGCTGAGAATTTGCATTCCCCCCCAAGTATACTGAATCAGAATCTACCATTTAACAAGATTCCCAGGTCTTGTTCTTACGTATATATAAGAATCACCTGGGGATCTATAAAATAATCTGGGGACCTTGTTAACTGTAGATTATGATTCAGTATATCTGGGGTGGAAAGGCAAATTCTCAGCAGTGGATTGAACCAGAATGAACAGGTTTGAAGCCGTGACCTAGTGTAATAGCCAGTTAATTAAGTGCTTCATATGGTTTCCTAAAATCTAAATACAAGGTAAAACTTTTGGCAGATGATTCGTGGGGCCTGGGTTGAGAACACTTGAAGTAAATGATTAAGAGCAATACATGTAACTGAATGAAGGTGCATATCCTGAAAGTAAACATCTACACCTAAACTAGGAATTGCTGTAGGTAATGGATATGGTATAATCCAGGAGGAAAATTCTGCCAAAATTTAGAAGCACAGCTGAAAGTACCTTTTATCCTTGGAAGTCCTGTACAGAAGGGAATTTGGACCAAACATAAAGCTTCATCCCTCAGTGAGGCCTTGGAAGGGAGAGGCGTTGGAAAATGTGACTCTGTGCCCACCCTGCAGCTAGTGACTGAGTGGGAAAAGCTTATTCTCCTAAGGGAATTGAATCTGAAAAATTAAGAGGGATAAAAATAATCTTTCTATGTTAAATTTTTGTGGCAAATCTTCCCTGGTATGAAAATTGTGTTAATTAAGATAATGAGAGGGAGATCTCCATGGATAAGCCTCTGTTGTTCAAGGGGATGCCTGTTTATTTCTTATTTCTTTATTTTCTTTTACAGATTTATTAGGGTGTAATTAACATATCATTTTAAAGTATTAATTTGATGCATTTTGACATTATATATGTATGCATGTTTATATATATTATATATAGCATATATTATATATTAGGAGCCCTGGTGGCACAGTGGTTAAGAACTTGGCTGCTAACCAAAAGGTCGACAGTTCAAATCCACCAGCTGCTCCTTGGAAACTGTATGGGGCAGTTCTAGTCTGTCCTCTAGGGTCTCTATGAGTCGGAATTGACTCGTTGGCAATGGGGTTTTTTTTTTTTTTTTTTTTTTTAATATATATTATATATATATATATACCTGTGAAACCATTGCCATGATCAGTATAATGAACATATCCATCACCCTCAAAGTTACCCAGAAATGTTTCTTCATATGCCTTTGTCTTAGGCTGGGTTCTCTAGAGAAGCAAAACTAGTAAAGCATATAAATATATATATAAGAGAGATTTATATCAAGGAAACAGCTCATGCGATTGTAGAGGCTGGAACGTCCCAAGTCCGTGGATTAGCATAGGGCTTATCCTGATTCATGTAGCCTCAGGGGCTGGTGAACCCAAGATCAGCAGGTTGGAGAGGAGGACTCTTTCTCACAGGCGGATCCCATGACTGGCAGGCAAGACCGCAAGGCTTCTTCTGCTTCGCGTAGCTGCAGAGGCTGGCGAACTCAAGATCGGCAGGTAAGCTGCTAGCTCAAGTCCCAAGAACTGGAGGTCAGATGAACAAGAGACAGCTGCAGGATCCAGAACAAGCCAAAAGCCTTGGCAAGGTGAGCAGGAAGGAAGTAGGTGGTGGAGGGCAGAGAGATGAAGGCTGAGGGGGTGGTGAGCCGCCTCAGGCCCCACCACCACTGGTACCACTCAGCAGATTCCATCATGGGAGTGATCGCATATCAGATTTCAAAAGGGAAGTGATCACAGCATTATACAACTGCCAAAACACTGAGAATCGTGGCCCAGCTAAGCTGACACACAGTCTTAACCATCACAGCCTTTGTAAGCCTGTCCTCCCTCCCTGTGTTCCTAATATTAGTAATTTGTGTCTTTCCTTTTTTTCCCTTGAACAGTCTGGTTAAAGGTTTACCAATTTTATTGTTTTCCTCAAAAAAAAAAAAGACTTTTGGTTTTATTGATTTTCTTCATTATTGTTCTGTTTCTCATTTCATTGATTTCTGCTTTTCTCTATAATTTCTATTGCTTGCCTACTTCGGATTTAATTTGCTCTTTTCTTTCTAGTTTCTTAAGGCGAAATCTTAAGCGACTGACATGAGACCTTCATTCTTTTCCAATATAGGAATTTAGTGTTATATAAATAGCACTATTATTGCTTTATCTCACAAACTTTGATATGTTTTCATTTTCATTCACTTAAAAATATTTTTTAAATTTCCTTTTTTTTTTTTTAATTTGACCTATGGGTTTTTAGAAGTGTATAATTTAGCTTCTAAATATTTGTGGATTTTTCCAGACATCTTTCTGATATTGATGACTCCTAATTTAATTCCATATTGGTCAGAAAGCATACTTTGTATGACCTGAATCCTTTTAGATTTATTGCGACTTGTTTTATGACCTAGCATGTGGTCCATCCTAGTATATTACATGTGTACTTGAAAAAGATATGTATTCTACTGTTGTTGGCTGGAAAGGTCTATAAAGGTCAATTAGGCCAAGTTGGTTGATAATGTTGTTCAAGTCTTTTATATTATTACTTATTTCTCTCTACTTGTCTATTGATTATTGTGTGAGGAGTTTTGAAATCTCCAACTATAATCGTGAATTTGTTTATTTCTCCTTGTAATTCTACCAGATTATACTTTTTGTTTTTGGAAACTGGTATTAGGTGTATATATATTTAGAATTTTTATGTTCTCTTGATGAATCAACCCCTTCATCATCATGAAATGATCATCTTTATCCATAGTCATAATCTTTGCATTTAAGTCTACTTTGTCTGATATTAATATAGCCACTCCAGCTTTCTTTTAATTAGTGGATATATTTTTTCTATCCTTTAGCTTTTCATTATGTTTTTATGTTTAAAGGGGTTCTCTTATAGGCAGCATATGCATGAGCCTTGCTTTTTGATTAAATCTCACCATCTCTGTTTAATTGGGGTGTTTATATGGTGCATATTTAATATGATTATTCATAGGATTGGATTCGAATCTACCCTCTTTGCATTTGTTTTGTATTTATCTAATCTGTTCTTTGTACCTCTTTTCAATTTTATGCCTTCTTTTGAATTAATTGAGGTATCTTTTATGATTCCATTTTATCTCCTTTGCTGGCTTATTAGCAATGCCTCTCTTCTGTGGTTGCATTTGGGAATATAGCATACATTTTTAATCTACCAAAGTCTAATTTGAATTAGTACTATACCAGTTCATATATAGTACAAGGAATTTACGACATACACTTCCATTTCCCCTTTCCTGGCCTTTGTGCCATTTTCATCATATATTTTACTTTTATATTTGTTATAAACCCCACTATAGTTAACTGGAGACCTGTTGGTGCAGTGGTTAAGAGCTAAGGCTACTAACCAAAAGGTTGGCAGTTCAAATCCACCAGCAGCTCCTTGGAAACCCTGTGGGGCAGTTCTGCTCTGTCCTAAAGGGTCGCTATGAGTTGGAATTGACTCAACAACAATGAGGTTTTTTTAACTTGGGAGACCCTGGGTGATGCAAACAGGTAAGTGTTCGACTACTAGCTGAATGGTTGGAGGTTTGAAATCATCCAGGGGAGACTGGGAGACAGGCTTGATGATCTGCTTCCAAAGGTCACAGCCTTGAAAATTCCATGGAGCAGTTCTGCTCTGCACGCATGTGGTTGCCATGAATCGGAACCTATTTGATGGCAACTAACAACAACTACATAGATCAACTCTCTTAGATTTAAACAGTTATTTATTTTTTTAAAGTGATTTAAAACTTAAGAACATGTATTTTATATTTATCCACATGTTTACTATTTCTGGTACTCTTCAATCAGGTTTCAATCTGGTATCATTCTTCTGCTAAAGGCCTTTCTTTACCTTTTCTTATATTGCAGATCTGCTGGTGATGAATTTTTTCAGCTTTTGTTTTTAATGTCTGAAGGTCTTTACTTCACTTTCCTTTTTGAAAGTTATTTTCATTGGATAGTGAATTCTAGGTTAATAGATTTTTTTATTAAAAAATTTTCAATACTTTAAGCACGTTACTTCACTAGCTTCTGACTTGGATTATGTACAATAAGAAATCTGCTGTTATTCTCATCTTTCTTCAGAATGTCTCATTTATGAGTCTGCTTTTAAGATTTTT